CTCTGACCCTCCTCCCTCTCATGCTCTCTGTCTCTCATTCTCTCTCTCTCAAATAAATAAATAAAATCTTTAAAATGATTTTAAAAAAAGTTAAAATAATAAATAAAGAGGGTAGGAGGAAACTTTTGAAGGTGATAGATATATTTATGGCATAGATTGTAGTGGTGGTCTCACCGATGTATACTTATCTCCACACTCAGCAAATTTATACATTAAATATGTTCAGCTTTTTGTCAATGTCATCTCAATCAGGTGCTTTAAAATTTATATTAAAACTTCAATTTTTTATTGTGGTTCATTCCTGAAACATGACCATTATTGATTTATTTCTTTAGTCTCTATTTCAAAATTTAAACAGCTCTGGAAACATAATAGAATAGGTTTGTTTCTAGATATTAACACCATTATGTGGAGGAAATTAGTTGGCTCTTGCCCAAACTAAAAGTTCCCTGAGAAGTGTTAATTTCAGAGTCAGACAAAGGGTACCAAGCATAATAAATAGCCCATAAGGGTTACTAGAATGTGATAGTGAAAAACATGAACAAATGAATGAATAAATGAGCAAGAGACTGCTTGAAAGAAAGAAAAAAGAAAGAAAAAGAAAGAAAGAAAGAAAGAAAGAAAGAAAGAAAGAAAGAAAGAAAGAAAGGAAAAAGACAAGCCAGTCAATGTAACCAAGATACAAGCTTCTAAATAGTCTGTATTAGTTGAAGTCCCTTACTTTATAAGGGGCACTTGGCATTGGGGGGAAATATGAAACAAGAAGTGCCAAAGATAACCATCACCTTTTTTCTATATGTGTCCTGGTTTTGCTTTATGTCTCGCTCCTTGACTGATGAGATACCTCATATGCTCTGGGGTGGGTTAAGGGAGGTCTTTGGTCTGGTTTCATTTCACAAAGTTTTACTAAACAAACCTGGAAATCAATAGTATTATTACATAAATTATACTGCAGTAAAATTTCCCAAGGATTTATATACAAATCACAATGATTCCTATTAAGCAATTGATTGACAAGCTTTTAAACAGTACTTCTCCACGTGAGTGAGGACTAGCTGTATACATTGCACAGTAACTAATATCACCCTCTGGAGTTTCCAGTTCCATCTTGCCAGGAAGAGCACCAAATGACAAAGCTTACTACCTCACATCTCTGGTACCCTATAGCAGTCACATTTGTCCTAGAAGCATGGACAACATGGTGAGGCACCAAAAGAATGACACTGTAACAATTCTTTAGAGCTGAAATACTATCTTAGAGGGCAAGGAAGCACTACCTACATTTCAAAAGGCTTCAAATCCCATCTGTTAAAACACAAACTCAGTATTAGATATTTATCGAATTACTGTTATTTATCTCAGGTCTGTCAATGGGATTGTGATTATGTAAGAGAATATCCTTGTTCATAGGAGATGAATGCTTAAGTATTCACAAGTGAGGTGTTGCAGTGTCATAACTTACTTTCAAATGATT